TTTTTTTTTTAAGTAGAAATATTGAATGAATTCTAGGCCTGCAAGTATGACATGTTCCTTCCTCAGACATGATAATAAACTGAGTATTTTTGACTTTTTACATGAAAACAGAAATGATGTAAATAAGAGAAACTGTCAGGGGGCTTCAGCTGCTTTAAATCACAGTGAGCAGGAGGAGACTGAACACAGGCACAAAGTTTTTTCCCCTAACTTGTTAAACATCCAAATACACAATCACACAGCAGCTCATTCTCATGAACCTGTATTCTTGTTCATTTTGTCATAAAATAGAATTTTATCAGGTGACTGTCACACTCCTCAGCAGATGCTGGATGTTTTGTTTGCCAAGTGAAAAGAGGACCAAGGAGAAGCAGCAGCAGAGGAAGAGATTTAACTGTGTTTATGTTAAGGTGATTCACTGTGGACAGAGCGCGCTACTAACACCACATGAAAACACTTGTTAGATGTTGATGTAGTATAAAGTTGTGTTCACAGCTGCAGTGACTCAGACCTGATGAGTCCACAGCAGTGTGAACAGAACAGACCAGATGTCCTCAGACCAGATCTAGGCCACCAGCGTATGTGCTCCTAGACCCGATTCCTCTCAGACCTCTGACTTTGCATCCGCCATCAGAGTGGTCAGATCAGAATCCATGTGGTCGTTTTAACGTCTCCTCCTCTGCACATACGGCCTGTCGTCATCATTTGGTGTCTGTCCCTCACAGACCGATAACAATAAACATGGAGTAGAGTGATGACAGCAATGGGGTCAGTGGAGAGACCAGGATGTTTCACATGTGGTGGACGTTTATAGAGAAGCTTCTAATAAGGTCAAACTGGGAGGAACATATTGTAACCCAGCAGTTTGGGAGGAAACTCGGCCATTTGACCATCGCACACACAACCTGGTTGTTATTCTTGTGCACAAGTGGCTCAATTACATCTGTGACAGTTTAGGAGCTCAGCGGTGTTTACATCGGAGCTGGGTACATGGCGCTGACACACATGGACGGGAAGCAGCAACACAACAAGACCAGAGCTGAGTGTTAAGGCCTGTAGCATGAACACAGCCTCGGTTGTGAATCTATACAAGGTTTCATGCATCTGGCACGTGGTGCATCATGAGTCAGTTCTGTTGGTGCAGCCGATTATCACCACACAGGTCAATATGCTGATAGTGTGCAATCTGTTATCCACAGCTGGTCCCTGTGAGATAAAGTCTAAATATTCCAGGAAGGTTCGCCTGGGCCAATGGGGACTTCTCATCCCTTTCTCTACTGCTGGATCATTTCCTCTCCTCCCTGTTTCCCACCTGTTTCCTAACAGGAAGTAACTTCAGTTAAATATGGAGGGAGAGATAGGAATTTAAGACTGAAGTGGACACAGCAAATCCTAAAATTTTAGTCCAACAACTGATTAAAAAAGAATGAACAGAAGGGAAAGTATTGTTTTTTTTTATGAACCAATCAGCAACATGTGCACAAGCTTCAGACTGAAGCCGAGAGTCGGCACTTTAACCCAACACAATCTTACTTTAAAAACAATTTTCAGGAGTGCAGCACAGAAACAAATCTGTACTGTATCATTAAATCTACAGGTGAACAAACTAAGGCTGCAACTAACACTTACTTTTATTATTGATTAATCGACAGATTATTGTAACACGTCAAAAATAGTGAGGAAGCATCTGACATTTACTTTATTTGTTAGTTTTAGAAAGAAAAACACAAAAGGTAAGCATACAGACAGCAGTGCTTACCCAAGTAAAAGGAGTGTGAAAGCACAGAGTGGCACCCTGGCGCTTAAAGAAACCCGAAAAACTGTTTATCGAGCTAATACATTCAGGGTGTCAGCGCTGCAGCTTCATTGGCGGAAAACAAACAGAGCCAGCAACGTTTTCACTGTTTACCTGCTCTCTTTGTGGATCAAACTGCCTCTAAAAAACCTGGTTCAATCACATGAGGTACATTTCAGAGAACCCTTCAAACTCAAAATACATTTAGAGCTAAAAAGCACGAGCCTGTGGTACCTACACAGCCGAAATTAGCCCGCATTAGTAGCAGGCAATAAGCGTAGTGGCACCAAACTCCATTTGAAAATATTTAAATTTTAATCCCACCTTGTGTAGACAACAGGATATAACAAAACTATAACTATTTGTACGTCATACAAGTCTTCTGTTAAACTCGACATTGACAGCGCCCACCCAAAAAATACTAGAATTCAATAAAATCACGACTTTAACCGTAGATCTCCGTTAGTCAATACCGCCCACCACGGCTGTATTTTACTAGAAAAACGCCGTAGAAAATCCTGTCTACAAAAACAAAAGCCTGTTTTCAATTAAAACAAGTACAGATGTATATAATAAATGTGCAGTAGATTAAATGGTCAGAGATGAAGTTGTCAGCTGTTGTGATTTTTACTGAAGAGATGCACTGGCAGGACATCGTCAATTTGTGAGGTTGGGTGAATACCAATCGAGTGAGCTGGATATTGTATGTGGAGTGCCTCAGGGTTCTGTTTTGGGACCTAAATTATTTATATTATACATTAATGATATATGCAAGGTTTCTGATTTAGTGAAAGTGGTTTTATTTGCTGATGACACTACCATATGGGCATCGGGTGAAAACCTACAGCAACTCTCTGGACGGGTTTCACAGGAACTTGAGAAGATAAAGAAATGGTGTGATAGTAATATACTATCTCTGAATTTGGATAAAACTAAATTTATGGTATTTGGGAATTGCAGATTAGATAATGAACTTCAACTGAAAATTGGGGGAGCTAATATAGAACGAGTATATGAAATTAAATTTCTAGGTGTCATAGTTGATGACAAATTCTCCTGGAAATTTCATATCAGATATGTTCAGCACAAAATAGCAAAGAATATATCGATATTGGCAAGGGTTAGATATATTTTGGACGGGAAAGCACTACACGTTTTGTATTCTTCATTGATTTTACCATACTTGGAGTATGGCGTTGAAAACTGGGGAAATACATACATAAGCTCACTTCAACCATTGTATATATTACAAAAAAGAGCGATAAGAATTGTGCATAAGATGGGGTATAGGGATCACACCAATGTAGCTTTCATACAGTCTAAATTGTTAAAATTTTTTGATTTAGTGGGATATAAGACTGCTGTGTTTATGTATAAAGCCAGGAACAATTTATTACCTGGTGGAATTCAAAAACTATTTAATGAAAGGGAAGGGGGAAACAATTTAAGGGGTCAGTTAAATTTAAAAATTCATGCTATATGTACAACCAAAAAAAGATTCTGTATTTCAATAAGTGGAGTAAAACTGTGGAATAATTTAAGTGTGGACATAAAAAGCAGTAAGAATATTGATGAGTTTAAACATAAATATAAAGGTATGTGTCAATCAAGATATATGCAAGAACAGGCTTAATGACTAATCAGACGGGAAGTAGAATATGTATCCATGTAGTAATACTGCTTGCAAACCAACGATGATAAGATGATGTTAGGGAGTAGGACTAAATAAGTCTAA